GTGGATAGGTCCTTGGTGTGAGCGAGCTATATCCACCCTGAAGATTAATCTTGGACAATATCTGATGATCGACTCTTTTAAATGAAACCAGAATCATGAATCATAATTAACCATTTAACTGCTGGAAGAAGTGAGACTCACGTGTCTTACTGCGCATGTCTGATCAGAAAATCTTTGATCCACCCAGTGGGTCTAGTAAACAAACCGTGAACGTGAATTAATCCTAAACCATTTACAGCTGGCTTGAATGAACCACCCCAATTGAGCGTGGCTTGGCGTTAGAGCAACTGATTACGGCTGTTTACAAGTTGAAGGCTAGTTCAAGCTCGGCTTACAGCTCATATCCTGAATTTAGAAATCTGACTTTTGTGCAATAGGCCTCTAGTGAAAATGAAGACCCTTAACCCAGACCCAAACCAGTCGTTATTCCATATGTGGCGGGAGTTTCAGAGAAACTGAGACATTTATTCTCTAAACATGATGTCCAAGTGGCTTTCAAAACCCACAGCACGTTACGACAAAGATTAGTTTGCCCCAAAGATCCAGTTCCCTAGCAAAAACAGCCATATTTATTCATGTATAATACGATCTCATATACAGTATAATATTACCCCCCTTTTTCGAGCATAAAAGCATAAAAAATCGAATCCTCAAACTACCTCCAATTTCATACAGACTTCAAGATTTTTCAGCTTTTGAAGTCTTTATACATATCAGTAAAATGATCATTGGACTGTTCATTTTATTTTAACAACATATGTACTAAAAAKAATTTTGACAACAAAYATATATCAGCTGTAGCAGCATCAAATGAATTCTGGCATTTTACACATAGTCCACCAGGATGCGCCAACACAAAAGTCAGAGACTTTCACATGGTGTTTCAACACTTGGTGCCCCACATCATATACATTTATCCTTTTTACCTGCTACCTGCTTTTTACCTGGTATTTGTCTCCAGTAGTGATGAACACTGGGCAGTTCTACCATGAAAAACTGTACAAACATTCCAGTGGTTAGATGAAAATTAAATCTAAATTAAGGGTTGTAAGGTAGCAAAACCAAAAGGTGTTTGAAACCTGCAGTCTGTTCCTTCTGACGTTTCATTCTGCTGCAAGAAGCCCAAACTTTTCTGACRAATGGGAAGTCTCACTGCTGTCCTTAGGTATCACGTAAACAAAAACCAACAAACACATTTTATGTCAGATGAAAGCGAGCCTGCAGCATGTTTCTGTGCTTCCTATTACATCTTCCCTTTATGAGACCAATGGGGACATTGTGTTTGTGAGTGTGTGCTCTCATAGAGACACTGTACTCTCTCTGGCAGTATCTGGCACCAAAACCAGCTCACAGCAGCTGCACTGGACACAGGCCAGATCTTCAGAACATCCAACCAACAACTAACCAATGAATGATTGACTACTTTTTCAATTACAGGTTTTTATTCCCGTCTTTGGTAATTATTATTATTATTTTATTATTATTATTATTTTGTTAAATTCTCCTGTCTCCTTTTTTTGCCAACATACCCTGATAGAAACGTCCACTGGGGTTTGTGGTTGCAGCCTCTGAGACAGCAAGCCACACCATGGTGTCAGCCCCCTGCTCGGGTGTCCGAAGGCTGTCCTTCATAGAGCGATGGAAGTCGGGCATGGCGTTGGCCACCGCTGAGACACACAGGGTAAAAAAAACAGCATGGATCACCTTGTACAATACGTGGGCTTAGATGACCGAGGAGACACTTGTTTTGCAGCGAGTGGACGGTCACCTGGAGTGTCCACCCAGCCGGGGTGCATGACAGAAAAGTGGATGTTGGTGTGAGTTTTTGCCAGCTGCTCCGTCATCACCACCTGCTGCCTCTGAAACACAGAAACCTTTCTTTAACAGATGCAGTGCAGCTGGTTTGAACAGGATCTGTTGGTWCCAGAACACATCTGTCTGATACTAGACTTGCTGGTTATTTATTACTCACTTGCCCAAATTGAAGTATTTGCCAAGTATTTTGATTTTGTGTACTATAAGATGTTAGATTGATTTATATTAGGTCTTAAATGCACTTCACACATAAATATTTATTCTTGAGATGTTTAGAATATGTTTGTATTCAATGTGCGATCATCTTGTAAAATGTCAACTTTTACACGTGTGCAAATAAATATTCCAGTCTAATTCTGAATCAGTTTCCTGTGTATAAGTTTCAAAAGAATTTATTTCTTAAAGTACATCTGATAATTAGTCTGCAGGCTTATTGTTTGGTGAATAAAAGTCAGAGTACCAGTGGTGGGCACAATTCCCCTAAAGCACTAAAGCACTGACAGGGGAACTAATTTCCTGATTAGTGCTTTAGGGCTTTTGCTAATTTTAAACTTTATTAGTGGATTAGCGCTTGCTAAATTTATAGGCTAAATTCAGAGGCACTAACTGAGGTCAATAAATGTTATTGATCAACATTAATGTTAACAGCTGAGCTGTCACACATTTTGTACATATGTGTGTCACTGATCCACCAGGTGACAATATATGAACACAGCTGTGGAATGTCAATGATAAGAATTGGTGGGCTCGATGGATAGCCCTTAATCAGAGCTAAACAACAACAAAAATAAATAAATAAACCTGAAGCTCCTTTATGTTGAATAGTTTTTGAGTTATAAGCATTTTTTTGTGTTCAGACACGCCCTTTTCAGATGGAGTCCCCTCCTCAAATATGGGGTCCATCATGAAACTGTTGGCTCGGACATGTCTCTAATACTAACAAATTTCATGCTGATTGGTGCAGCTATTTCTGTGCTACGTTTGAGCAAAAATCTCTGAAAAAAAGATAAATTAAACAAACAAACAAATAAATAAATAAATAAATAAATAAACAGTACAAAAAACAATATGCCCCCTGCTTCGCATGCGAGGGGGCATAATAAAGTTATTAACCTGAAAAACTGGCTTGATTTGATGAGATTTGAAGCTCTGGTTTATATCAATCAATATTTTATTCACCCAATTCAACAATTTCATCATTAACATACAAAACATAGTTTTCTTGTAGCATGAGTGAAAAGGAAGCAGGAAGAAGAAAAACCTTATATAAACCTGCTCCTTTCTCAATAATTACAATTATTATTTTTTTCATGGCCACATTCATTAAATCAAGAATATAAATTACAAACAATAAACTGTATTATTCTCCTCATTGCTAACTCTAAAGTGTATAAGATAATCATTTTTTCCTTATAAAGTATTTTGAATTGATTTAAAGTAGAACATTTTTTCAAATCATCATCCAAACTATTCCATAATTTTACTCCATAAACTGAGATACACATTTGCTTTAAAGTAGTATGCACAGTTTTACTTTTAATGAACATGATGAGTGAAGAAGGTCTTAAAAAGTCCCATAATGTTGAATATCAACTTGTTATGAATTGTACATAATAAGAAATGGCAGCCACAACTTAGTGCAATCTCTTTTCAGTTTAGAAGCATATAAATGTATATCATATTTATTTATTCTGTCTGAAATCTTTGAAACATCAGGTTAATGGTACATTAATTAAACAGCAGGTTTGATGCTCAGCTCTTACTTTGTGCTGGGCGTAGACCATGGTGCCATCATAGCGACCTCTCTCAGACTGCAGATTTCCTATCCTGAGCTTCTGCACCAACATTCCCCCTGATGACACCGAGATCTGAACAGAAAAAAAAATGAAAAGATGTTATGATCTAACAATTGCACATCTAAATTTTTTTAACAGCCACATTAYTCAGTTGTGAGCTTCATGTGTTGCCAACCTACACTATAAACCTGAACCCTTTTTATTAGGATTATAAATTACGTTTCAGAGTTAAGTAGAAACAAAAATATTGAGTTTTATTTTGAAGAGGACAATGATTGAACAGTTTTCTATTTTGGTCCTTGAACAGGTTTGGTTTTGTTATAAATCCTTGTTTTGGTGTTTCTCTTCTCTAGTTCCAAATCATTTAGTGGCTCTTCAGCTCTGAGTGTAGATTACTTTATAAAACAAAAGCTCTACATCTTGATGTAATTCGTCTCATTTGTTTTCTGAGACGATGTCACAAACAATACAGCTTTTAACTGAAGAACATCAGACTCACCACTCTGGGATCTGGACTCTTTTCTAATAAGGGGATTAGACTCTTGGTGAGAATGTAAACTCCTAAAAATGAACAAAAATGTTCTGTAACCATCTCATCCATCTTCTTAATATTGTTTTCATCCCACCGAATGTTTTTGGTTTCACTCACCGAGCACATTGACAGCAAAGCTCTTCTCCAGTCCTTCAGCGTTCACATCCCTCTGACTCATGATGGCTCCTGCATTATTGATCTGCACACATCCAGATTATTTAGATCACCATTCGCTGCAGTCAAAAGTGGGAACTGAAATCATGCTGCAAACATGCTTTCTTCCTGAACTGTTTAGCCTGATTTACAGTCATTGAGAAAGCTCATTCTCATGTCTCGATTACAAAAGGTGTGTGATGAAAATTGCATAGTTTGCAACTCTGATGAGACCTCGTCTGGTGCATCRCCCCCCATCAGAATTAGTTCTCACAGAAGCATTGTGATTGGTCAGAACTTTGGTTTTTGTAAAGTGGCTGCAGCAGCATCTGCTGAGAGCTGCTGGCTGAGGCTGTGAGAAAATACAGCCAACATCACAACTGTTCCAGTAAAAAAAATAATAAAGAATGTCAAATAAAACTTAGTAAAAGAACTTGGAGGAGATTGGAAAMCGTCTTGTGCACACAGAGGACAGCTCTCAATACAGTTGATGAGGAAGAGGGACAGCAGTGACACATTTCAGCACAGTCTGTAAAAAGAGGTGCTCTCTTTGTGAAAAATTAACAAAATTGTTATGATTCTGTCACTGTCTGCCTTGATCTAGTTCCAGTTTAGTTTTATTATTTTCATTTCATGTCCCAGTTCACTCTCTTAGTCTTGTTCCCAGCCTTTCAGGTCATATCCAGCACCTACTCATTGCTCTCGCCCCTCCAGTCACAGAAACACTAATCAAGCTCATTCCACTCACCTGTCTGCAGCAGTATTTAACCCAGTCTCACTCTCCAGCTCCTTGCCAGATTATCATCAGCCTTGCCTATGATTCTCCAGCGTTCTTGTCCCTTGTCCTGCTCTTGCCTCGTGYCCCCGACCTTGCTCATGTCTCCTGGTTTCACGTCTCCTGCCTCGGCCCCTGTTGGATCCCTCCTGCTAGTGATGGGCAAATGAAGCTTTCCTGAAGCACTGAAGCTTGCTTTGAAAAAGGGTTCATTACTCGAAGCTTTCCAACACAGTTCTCTTTAGCTCCACCCTGTGGCCAAAAGTGTGAAAAGCTGCTTGAAACATCACAGTGAAGCACTTCATTGCGAAGGAGTTGGCAGCTTTTTAATGG